TATATATAAAATAAAAGAGCGCCTTTTCGCCTGTGGTCTGACGTTTGATAACGGCTGATATGTGGCGATTTTGTGGACTTTTGAGGGGACTGGTGCCTTCGAGGGCGGGGGGATTACAAGAGGAATCTTACCAGAGACTGCAGCAACAGACCCGAAGGGTGAAACAGGAAAACAAATGAACTCCAACACACCTGTTCGGCCGGTTGCAGGTAGTTCGGGGAAATCCTGCTGTGTTGGTTTCACCTGCCGAGTCCGACTCGCAGCCGTATTGGATGATTGTGATGCGGGCTGACTGTGGCTTTTGGCTTTCCAGAGTGGTTGGGAAGAGGCTAGTTTTGGGGAAAACAGATCACTTGAGAAAAATCTATTGCAAAGAAAGCAGTCGGCAATATGCTCAAACGAGTAGAGCATGCGCGACAAGTTCTCACTGAAACATATGCTGCGATGAGAACACTACAACAAAGGGGTAGGTAATTGATGAATTTGCAATTCAATCCGCAAATTAATTTGGTGTCAACGGGGAACTCGACTAAATCTCTGGTTGATGATATTCTTTAAATGAATACGTTGCGCAAAATTCACTTTGTGTTTGCGACATTGAAATATAAGCGTATACTGTCTTGGTATAATACACTATATTCAGTTAAAGAATATTATCAACGAGGAATTCAAATGAGTCACGAATCAACGTCAAAGTAGTTTGCAACTAAGGGTAGTTCCTCAACTGTGTACAATTCGGTGTTTAATTAGAACGCAGGCTTGATCGAAGCAATGTGACTATGCATGCCCGGCGAGTCCCAAGAAGGGCAAAATGGGTAGTGTGTTATCGAAGCTTTCAGCGATATTCTAAGTAGTACGTCGTGTCGAGACCCAAGGATGCCAAGCAGGGTTCCAGTTTTTTAGCGTAATTCGTCCATGCGTGCTCCGGTTATCAACGAGATCAAAAATTATTTTTAAAATAGCCTCAAAGGGCTTGCAACGAAACTAACGAGGTAACCACTGCTGGATGACAGTAAGATGACTTGCAATCACCGGTCAAAAATATCTGGCTCGAGAAGACATATGTTGCAACCTTTCTCTAAGTACTTGACGGTCCATTGTCAGGTCAGAGCCTGCAGCGGCATCCTCCTTTCCCCGGTCCTCAGGGTGGAGTGAAGTGCGTCTATGTAAACGGTTTTCATATATGTAGACCACGTGGATGAACCAGCAAAACCGGCGCGGATCAGACATACTCTGAGCTCATTGCCCGTTGGATGCAGTCTAGCACTGGCTACATGTTCCTCGGACAGCTGCACATCTTCGGCTTCCACTTTGCAACAGTAACCGTCGGCTAGGCGTTCGAAGAAGGACCTTGGATGAAGTAAATCAGACGGGTGACCCTTGGTTGGAGCCGGACAAACTCAGTGGCTTTATGGACCTCTTTATTTTAGCTGGTAAGTGTCCAACCGTACACAATCCACTGAATGGGGTCAGGTGGTTGCAGACTTCATGACATGCCTCTTATCAGCTATACTTTTCATGTCAAGCATTCCCCGGCCATCTCCATGACTGGGTTGAACAAAGCATACTGGAGAAACCAGTTTTAGGAAACGTGTTTAAACCGGATGCTGGAGTGTAAATATATTTTTGTGTTGGGAGCGAACTATCGCCATTCGTGCTCTTCAAGGTCGATAGGACCTATCTGCCGAAAGCTTTCTCTTTTCATGACGGGGGTCTGCAAGATCTTTTTGGCTAATATGGCGTAGCCCTTACCTTTAATAACCGGGCTCAAAGTACGTCAGTATCATTCCAGTTGATCAATTAAGGAACTACATTGTCAAGGTTCAAAAGTTCACCACACTCAACATTGTCACAACCGTAAATGCGCCGACATTTGTTTTCGAGTGGCACACCAGCAAAGCAGCTGTTAAAAAATCCCGAAGAGTAATGTGATCATAGTTGCTTGCAACTGGAAAGTAAGGTTTCGTTGTGAAATGGTGACAGGCTTGTTAGCTTCACTGGACTCAATCGGTTGTGCGTCACCAACACGCGCTTTTATAACTCTAGGAAGCACCTGTTAGATTGCTGCTGGGACAACGGTCATTCAGTTCACCAGATCCCAATGGGATTTACATGGATCTCAGATGGACCTTAATAGGCACAAAAGCAAAAGAACCAAAAAAGTAAGACTTAGGATCCTCGTTACAGTTGGTGTGTATAAGGAAATCAGCTTAATGTGCACAACTCGCAGCACATGTCAGAACAGTCAAAGACGTTTGTAACATCGCTACACTGGTTTTCTTGGAGCCTGGACTCGTGAAGACGGTACGTGGCAGTAGTATGATGGTCTCACATTTTTGAGTAGATATAAGCGAAGATTTTAAAAGGCGCAAAAGCTTGATAAAACGGAGTGGAAGTTGACTGGACCATTTGGGAGGCCGCAAATACCAAGGTGTAGGAAACACTAACCCTTTGGCGATACGTTAGACCCTGGAAGACTAGGGAAATCATCCGCAGTCAGTTGATTTTGACGCCCACGACCGGCGACAGACGCCAACGTTGCTGCCGGACGCGGTGTCGAAGCACTGGTTGTAACTGGTGCACCAGATTGTGGCCTAGAGTATGAATCCCGAGTACTCGCTGGAGCAGGCTGTTGATTGGTAGATCCACTTGCCCCAAGGGTTGGGAAATCATCACCTGTCCACTCGCTTGGGTTGACTCGACGGAACCGAACCCCCGCGCCTGTCCCCTCAGCGACCAAGGTACCGTCAGAAGCCCCTTAAATCAGATAGATAAGAGAAGGAATGAAAGCAAAGCGCCAGAGGTGCACAGAACCATGCAGTGTTTTCTCTCACATCTCACAGAGACAGTTTACCTTCCCAACAAGGAAGGCGACGAAACAAGCATGCGAGTATATGTTTAGTTTACATTTATTGTCGTTCCAGCTGTAACACCCTTCTGATGCCTAACTGCCATGCCATCCGAAGGAAGCACGAGGGATGGGATACTGCCAGGTTGCCCAAGCCTAGACGCCGAGAGGCACAGGTCGGGTTCGAACCACGGACCTTCCGGTCAGTAAATTCGGGCTCTAACCACTTGAGCCATCTCGCCCCCCTCCTATTTTACACCTATGAAGTGCCAAAATCAATCGGGAGCTTCTAAGAATATCCACTGGCCAAAATCAGACCAGGTAATTCGTGCAGTTGGTCTATTTCAGTGGGTCTTCTTTCAGTCTAAATTTGCTGCGAGGACGAATAAAAACCACGAAATAAATAGCATCAAAACCGTGAAATTGTCATTCGGTCTCCTTGAAGGACCGCTTCAAAAGCTAGACGCAGACACAGAATGGGGATCAAACTGACCTGCGCAAAAAAGAGAATACCTACTTAAAAAATCACGGCTAGTTTGTCATGATTTATACCACCCAAAGATCAAAAGGCGTCAATGTAGCTAAAACAGGGCCCTTCAACCAACCAACGAATTCGGCCGTGTTCATAGTGAACATGACAGAAATTTATACATATAATAAGTTGCCTAAAAGAAGCCCTTTCAGAGAAAGCTTAATCCATTAGATACTTTGGTAACGGCTCGCACAAGTCACGATTCAGTGAAAAGGCTTCCCGCTTTTCAGGTGAGGCTAGTAAGTTGCCTTTCTCTCATTAGGATGACAATTATATCAGTCAAGAGCTAAAAACTACATGACTTACTTAGATACCCGCCAACCCTATCTATTCCAGTTTGGGTGCCCGAATTGTCATACCTCCGCGAAGCAGCGGCCTCTCGAGGTGGTAACTGGATGGAAACTGGTAGCCAAGAATTCGGGTCGTTAGCGACTTCGTTAGGATGTTCTTGAAATCGGTGGAGGCCTAGACGATCCGAAGTCAAAAAACAGGATATCCGTTGTTGCGCACGACATTCCGCGCATAAATGGTGTGCGTCACTGTAGTGTTGCAGCAACTCCCATTGTTCCCTAGAGAATAGGACAAAAACGACGGACGATATAGCAGGGACTGAAGACACAAATCAGTAAGCGGAAAAATTAGGCTCTATAAAATTCTGAGCTTAGAGAAGTCAATGGCTTTTGTTTACACCCAGTAAACCTTGCAGTCTCCCAGTGTTGTGTCTTGCTGAACGGTAGTGCAACCCTGTATCGGTACCTTGGCTTCCTGCTCCGCCCACTATTGTATATCAGAAGGCACGGTAGCTCTACACAGCACTTTATGGAGACAGTGGAAAATCATTCCTGCTGTATATATATAGGGTAGTCACAGAGCGTTCCACAAGGTCGTGCCAGAATGTCCGTGAGGGGGCGAGAAGCGTCGAGTCAAAGGTGCTTGACTCGGATTGGCTGGCATTCTGACCAATCAGGGTATGCCTTCGTCTGGCCCGTGTCCTACACGTGACACATCCGTCCAAATGATGTGCTGTTCGGTTATTAGGGACGGCTGGCCCCCGAACACCCAGCCCCAGTACTACTTCAGAACGGTACAGACGAAACCTACGGAAAAGAGGACATGGTTGCTGTGGAAGCAAGCAACAAAACGGTGGTGTATTGGAGTGATGTACTTACAATCCCTCTGCAGAGACGCCAGTGGCATCAAGGAGCGATGACAGCGGTATTTAAGGCCGATGAGCTCTGGTCAGTAAACGGAAGGTCCGTGCTTCGAAGCCGACCTCTGCCTCTCGATTGCCCGTCTGTGCCTGGGCAACCTGGCAGTATCCCAGCCCTCGTGTTTCCTTCTGGTTGCATGGTAGTTAGGTATCGAAAGGGTGCTACAGCTGAACCATTTTCTCGAAGCATCTCACGAGAAATGGTCGGGATTTCATTGAACTCGGAAGAGAGCCAATGGAGATGCATTCACGTACTCGATTTCAGGGTTAACTCTAATCAAACGTTTAACCCCACCATTATTACCACCAATGAGTGCGAGAACAGTTATGCTTAACTTCGAACGCTCAGGCTTGAGAGTGCTCGCGCTCACTGCATCTGATACGCCAGTGGAATCTGTTTGAGGCTCCTGTGTTAACACAATTATAGGTAGCGGCGAGGCTGTTACTTGACGTGTAGCTTAGGCTTATTTAGCCACAAGTCCTGAGTGGAGAGTGATTGAATAACAACAGTATCCACCAATTCATAGTGCCATTACTTATTAAACGCTTAGTATCAGTATCAGTATAAGTATCAGTAAAAGGAACAAACAGTTCGTCCAATACAGGTCGTAAATTCGGGACTTGACGACTTTTGACTACGATAACTAACTATTCTTTGAAGCTGAAAAACCGAATTTGTGGTATTCTGAAAGGGCTTAAAACTTCTTTGTCGAACAACACACGGTAATTCTTATAAATTCCATAAAAAGCTAACGTTTAGTGCTAAACTGTGACGCGATTCAAGTGAAAATTCACCCTGAAACTATAGTTGAATAGACCGCTTGACTCACGCCAATAGGAACACTAATACTATTTGGAAAATTACTGTCCGCCTCCGTTTTCTGGCTGCGTGCGCAACCCACCGGAAGCTATCTGTTTTTCCGTCGGCGCACAAGTTTCGTCAGCCGCGTCTGTTACAAAGCTGGCATACCCTTCGATCCGTGCAACATCATAGTCTCTCATATCAGGTTGCTTAGATGTCTAGTCAAATAGTCTCCTGGTCTTCTAGGTAAGCATTGCAACTTATTCTTTAAAAAAGCAAGGCAGGGGCATTCCTCGCTAAATACCAGGGCTTGCCGTCAAACATTTGAACCAAAGGATTTGGTTTAGGACCTTTATCGTCTTCCTGCCTGCGTTTGGGCACCATAGCAGTGTCCCAGTCACGTGCAACCATGGTACCTATAAAAAATAGTATATGCAACGCCACATCGGCCGTCGTATGCCTTCAGCCGGGGCACCTCAGTCGATGGATTCGAAAAGGCGTGTTAGTGAAAACAGGCTACCGCTGATGCCTCCCTTCCCTCTTTCACATATTTTCCCTCACACCACCCTATTAATTACTCCACCCGTCATTCCGTTAGGAATGACGATCTGTTCGTCTTGTATTGGTTATGGCTACAATATCTGCGCGTCAATCGGCGCCGATAGCCTCAGGCATCTCGAAACCGACCTTAGAGCAATGATACCCGGTTCATCCGGCTGTTTTTAATGTTCGGTCTTTGAAGCATCATTCTAAGTTACCGGAAGGGAAAACCTTTGCTAGACTGGATACCAGCAAACAGTCACCTCGGTGTCGTTCACCTGCTAGTGTCCGAGTAGGATTCACACAAGTGGGACTTTGACAGCTGTCTGCTTACACCCCAATTAACTATAGCACTAAGACCATCAAATGTAACTTCTACTACACCTTGGGTACCCGGTTACGGTTGGCTGAAAATCCTAGATGCCGTTGTGTTGCCGAAGATCTGAACTCACAATTGGGTATACTTACCACACATGAGACTCATTTTGGTGGTTGACTTGGATTGGCCACGGTACGCATCGGCAGTGAGGAAAACTGTTTCAGCTGCATGCTGATCACAAACTGTTTTTACGCAATACTAATTTCCTAAATAGCCACACGATGTCCTTCACCAGCGACCTAGCCACAAAAGGGACACGAAAAAGTACTGATGGCACGGATCAGTAACTGACTACCGCTCCTTCTAGACGGATCAAGTGCGCGAATTTGCTGACCAGAAGGTCCGTGGTTCGAAAGCGGCCTCTGCCTCTCGACCTCCCCTGTCTAGGCTTGGGCAACTTGATATTATCCCAACCCTCGTGCCTCCTTCGTGGCATGGCAGCTAGACACCAAAGGGTTCTACAGCTGAACGATTCTACAACACTTGTTTGGATTCTGACCACACTCGTCCGGAGTCGCATCTCACTTCGGCTTCTAGGACCACAGAAAGGGCAGGCAAATCTGTTAGAAACCAAAGGAGTAGTAAATTCTTAGGTTAAATGCATTGCTCATTTTACTTGAGAGAACCCCAAGAAATGTTCTGCAAGTTCCTAACAAATTCCAGCAAGGAGGATTTTCGGATGTAGAGTGAAAAGCAGTGTCCGCACCAATCATGAAGGCTGATGGGCAGAGAAGGCTGAGGAAATGGAAGAGACGAAAAATATGGCGGACTTGTGGATACTTATAATTATCATCATGATCATCGGGAGTAGGACATCAGTGTTCAACACTGATGCTTCGCTGTCGCACAGTCATGATTAAGTTGAAAGCCTTATTGTGAAGAAAAGAATAAAGGTGGACCTGGAAGGGATTTAATGCTAGCTTACTGTAGCCTCTACTCATCCAGGCAATCTGGATAGAAACTGACAACACGAACGCCATTGACATCGATTTGCAACTTTATCTTGCATCGTCTGCAGCCGGGCGCAGTGAGGAGCACGGAGTCCCCATCCTGGAAGGCGATTAGCACCGGAAGCATCCCAACTTTCGGTAATCTTTCTCATACCACTGTCAGATAAGGGGTTGGCAACCTCTCTGTATCCCCTACTCTGAAATGGTCACGGAAAACAGCACTCTCTTCCTCGAATGATGGCTTGGTATACGCAATACATGGTCTGACTACGCAAGTTTTTGGTGTTGGACACTTTCTTCAACGAAATTTCCCCGCCGTACAACCGATCATTCGCTTTTTAATTGCTTCGTTACGAATTCTTCGATACCAACTCGCACGAGCTATGGTCCTGAGACAACGATTGTCGAACTCCTGAAGACAAATTGTGAGTGAGGTCTGCTGGAGATGCATTCACTGCGTATCCTGATGACAATCCACGGATATATTCAAGGTTGTGAAGCGTTTTACGTATGTTAAGGTTGCATTAGTTATGACTGTAGCGTAACAGATAGGATTAATGTCCGAATATGCAAGGCTCGGGTCGCGTTTGCTGATTTGAGACATCTATGTCATCAAAGCTGTATATGGTCGTTGGGTTGTCCGTTGAGCTGGGCAACTTCACAGCTCAGAGAACAATTCAACGACCATCTATGCTACAGGAGCTACCACCTCCTCTATAGCAAATCGGCATATTTCTACATCACAAGGGACGTGCATATCAAGCTACAGTGCGGCTGTATCACTGTATGGCTGTGAGACTTGGCCTGTTCGAGCAGCGGAAGTGCGAAGTCTTCAGCTCCACAACAACCGTTATCTCAGATCCATAGCTAGTGTGGGTTGGCGTTGGCAAATACGTAACGAGGCAACTAGAATGCAAGTGTTCGGTTGTGTAATGGGGACTTCCATAGAAGAATGTGCCCAGCACCAAAAGCTGCGTTGGTTAGACCATGTATTGTGGATTTTTTAGTATTGTGGATGCCAAACCATTTTGCCGAATAGAGAGCTTTTTCCGTTCCCAGTGCAGAGTGGCGGGAGCAAAGAGGTTGCCAACCTTCGGCCTGGGACGAAGTTCGGTTATCGTTGGTGCGACCCGCCCTCCAGGATGGGGTCCAAGTGATCCTCACTGTACCTAGTTGAAGACAAAGTAAGATGGGACTGCTGATCGACATCAGAAGAGTTTATGCACCCTCTTGGCCCTTGCGCTCACCGGTAGGCTTTGTCACAGCTAGAACCTGTCGATCAAGCTGTTGAGCAAACCATAGTCCATAAGTCTCAGTAAACTCTCCAACGAAGTCACCGTCCATATATTTGGGCTACAAGCCATTTTACAAGCATTACCAGATGAAGCATCGGACAAAACTGCGGAGAGCGCGGGTCACAGAAATCGCACCAAAGGCTCCATCACGGACCCTCTGAAATTTAACCAATCAACACCATCATCATCATCATCATTGCTCATTTTACTTGAGAGAACCCCAAGAAATGTTCTGCAAGTTCCTAACAAATTCCAGCAAGGAGGATTTTCGGATGTAGAGTGAAAAGCAGTGTCCGCACCAATCATGAAGGCTGATGGGCAGAGAAGGCTGAGGAAATGGAAGAGACGAAAAATATGGCGGACTTGTGGATACTTATAATTATCATCATGATC